CGGGGGGTAATGGGGATGCGTGGGAGGCGTAAGCGTCGAACGAGGGCTTTGCTGATCGTGCCATAACATAAGCAACCAGTGTCGATCATAGCCTTGGTGTAAAAAACTCCATTGATGCCGAAATTGACATACACTGGTTCCTCATCCATCTCCTTCTCAGCCTCCTTCCAAGCTCGCTTAGCCTCCAAATGCTCCTGGCAACGACTTCTGCCAGGAGCTACTCTTTTAACTCCTCTTCCTCACCATCCGTCTGGTCAGATGCGTCCGACTCTGAATCCACCAGATCTTCAATCGCAGGGAGCTTTGGGGTTGACCTCTTGACATATGCTTGGGAATTGGGGCGCTTTGGTGGGAGTAAGGGGCACCTGTCGCTCCAACAGCCTTTCCGCCCACATCGAGTGCATAAGCCTTCCCTTCGCCTGCGCTGAACCTCTTCCTCGCTTACCCGCTTGGCTCTTTTGCCTGCCAGCTCCTTATTCTGCCTCTGGATAGCCCTGTTGATCTTGGTAGGCTCCCAGTCCATGGTATCGGGTGAGGGAGCACGTGGGGGAGGAGTCTTATTCCTAGCAGGTGCCATCGTCTGGCTCTCTCTGTGCCCAGATCGACGGGCGTCTCGCTGCTGAGAGAAGGAACGGAATTCGTCGAGGTTGGCGCCCAAGTCGTGGAGGGAGTTCACATACGCTCCGTATTCTTTTGGCATGTTGAGCTGGCCCTTGAGCTCCCTCCGCATTTCACGGTTTAGTGCCTTCTTGAGGTAACTGATTTTCACAGCAGCAGCCCAGTTCGCGCCTCCCGCGTCGGCCATCTCCTTCTCGAACCTGGGCAAGAAGGATGCAAAGGGTTCCTTGTCACCCTGCGTTAATGAATTGAGTCGGTCCAGAGCTCTCTGGGCGATGTTTGGGTCTTCGTAGCATGAAGAGAGGTATTGGAGGAACTCCTTGGTGGTTCCAGTGCCTAGCTCCCTATGGAGGCTGTAGAAGGCGCTGACCATAGCCTGGGGGCTGTCCCCAAGCCGGGCAAAGATATAGGCGAACTGGTCCCTCTCAGAGCCAATTGTCGATCCGTCCGTCTCAAGCTTGCTTTCCATTTCCTGTTTCCACGCTCGGAACTTTCGTCGAACCCCGTCGAAGCGAGGGGGGTCTGGCAGCGTTGGTTTCTTTTTTGTCTGGGTCGAAGCAGGGGCTGGAGGAGCTGATGCCGATGGCTGAGGCGTGGGTGTGGCTGCTGGCGGGGTGTCGACGGAAGTATTCTGCATGGCGGCAATGTGATTCTGGAGGGCCTTGATCTGCAGCCCCATCGCTTCGCGTTCGTTGGCTTGCTCGGTTCGAAGATTGTCGATCTGGTCCCTTAACTGGGCCATCATCTGTTGGTTCTGGTCTCGCATCTGGGCCATCACTTGGGCCATCATCGTTGCCAATTGCTGGGCATCGCCCTGTGGTGTAGCCGCTTGTCGTTCCATGTTGCCGTCGTGGCAGTTGGCTTCAATCGGCGCTACCGTGTCTCAACCTTCGTCTGGCTGGAGGGACGGGCTCGCGCGTACCTCGGTGGTTGTGAGGGTTCTTAATCGCGGTCGTGGTGTCCCGGTCGTGCCTAGCTACTCGGCTCCCTTGGGCTCGAGATCTTCGCTCTTGTGGCGTAACGGTTGGGAATGTGGGATTCGTCGTCCAACAACGCGCGGCTCAACCAGCTCCCGCAGGCCAGTATTTTGCAGGCGACGTTGTAGCTCACCCGGTCAGCGATGCCAGGGTCTCGCTCTTCACTCAACCAGTCCTCAGTTGCTGGTGTCTTGTGGAAGTCAACAGCGGCCTCCTCGCAAGAAGGCCACTCTTCGCTCAGCTGGCTCGCTGTCCAGCACTTTTGCAGAACCCAAAGAGGCTCTGTTGTCCTGATGATGGCAACAAGAGCAACAATCTCCGTCTGGTCAGACGGAGTCCCAAGTACAATTTCCGCAATGATGTCGAAAGAAGGGAAGTTCAGTGTAATGTAACGGTCTCAGGTAGTATATTGCAACTAGCTGATGACGACTCTACGAGTACACTGAACTTGGAGAAGAAAAGGAGAGACGACAGACTCTGGTAGCTCGCAAGCATACTTATCCTCGTCGGCGCGCTGGTCTGAGCGCGTTTGCTAGAAGGTTCGGTGTGCTGTGGGGCGAGTGGGAATAGCCTCATCAGGGGTCTTGGTATTGGCCGAGAGTCGCCGAGGCTCGCACCGGGCCCAGCCCGCTACAAAGCTGAGATAGGGCCTGCAAGAGGGATCACCGCCAAGGAAGTGAGCAGGATCACCACTAAGGGAGTGAGCGCGGTGAGCGGCTCACCAAGATCACTGCCAAGAAGGTGATCGCAGTGATCGCAGGTACGGAGGTACCTGGGGGAGGAAGCTGTATATAGTCTACGATCTTTAGGCGTACGGGCATCACTGTAGCTTCCTCAGTAAGCAACTCAAGTGCAAGATTGTCTGTACCTTTGGACATTGCTTGTTGTGAACCCTTTGGCTTCACCGAACCTCACCCCGTTGATAAGTTATAACCTTCAGGAGTCCCTTTCAAAAGTTGGGGCTTCGAGATTCGTCACAGTTGGCCATATCTTCCATACCATTCAATCTTGGGGGAGAAGCTCGCACATATAGCTCGACTATGTATCGAACAAAAGCCTCCTCTTCTACCTGAACGAGTTTCTTCACCTTAGGTGTAAGGCGTAGTGTCGTATCACGCAGGCTTGCCAACGCGTCGGCGTGCTAGGATCTTACGTGAGACCTTATAAATCTTAGCTGCGGTTCGTACGCTTAGAAGGGCCAAGACTATCTGGCTTTCTTTCAAAGTAGGTGGCATCTTGGGTAATAGAGGAAATTTGTTTTCAGGAGCAGAGGTCTCGCGTGGGGTAGAAAGTGGGCCACTCACTGACTGATATGGGCCACTCACTGATATGGGCCACTCACTGATATGGGCCACTCACTGATAATGCTACGTTAGAAGGCGCGACGGAAGCAAAAGTGCTCTGAGGGAAAGAGTGCTTCATCCGCCGAAACACCGCTGCCCCTCGGTGAGATGCGCTTCCAGGCACAAGCTGCGAAAGTCGGTCGCCATGGCGTCCATCATGTCGTAGGTAGAGTTGATCCGATGTACAAGGCTAGTCGGCAGCTGCAGGACACGGGCAGCGGGGCGGTCTGGATGTGAATGGAGCTCATCAAGCAAAGCAATGACCGAACTCCCGATCAGGGGACGGGTAGACGCGATCTTCCATTAGGGCCATCTTGTATGGGAGGAGGGCCGGCGTGATCTTGGGGCAGACGACTGAGCTATCGGCATCTCGGTTTCCCTTGAAGGACATAGAGCAAAAATGAGATTCAAGGACAACAGGGTCATAAAACTAGTGGTAGCTGAGCTTCCCTGGGATTGTCCGGCGGGGCAATCTGGTGACCAAAGGCATGGTTCGTGGCGATTTCCGGGGTGCATGTGTTGGGCGTGTGTAGCGCAACGGCGAGAACAGGATGAAGAAAAATATATGGGCGGCAAAGAAGAAGACTGGACAGGAGCGCGTTAGCGGGAATACCACTCTCGTGTCATATTAGGTTCTCGGGCCTGGTCACAGAGGCCGTTCCCCGAATATACATATATTGATCTTACACCGCAAGGGCAATCGCCCCGCCCAGTTAGGGCAAACGGTTCCTCTACACTATTTTACATGCAAGGTATCCGCTCTCGTGCTGCGTCCGCGCGGCTTAATTGCCGTTCGGGCGCGCCCAGCAGTCCCTCTCATCCAGCAGTCCGGAACTCACCCGTTTCCCGAATATACGGAGCATAATCCGGTCATTGTTGTCGTCACCGGACCTTGTTACCACGTCTGTTACAGGGCCGGGACATCACAAGCAGCACGCGGAGGCAGCTCAGAACGCCAGTCTTAGCTCACAGGAGTATGCGGCAAGCGCGGTGAAGCATCGGATGCAAAGTAAATGATATTATAGAAGGTAGCAAAACAACAATCGGGCAGGATCAGAAAGACGAAGATCTACGGCATAATGATAAAATGCCTGAGCAAGAAAAACGGCAACAGTAAGACAGGGAAAATAAGAACCAGACCATCGCTTTGACGGAAACACACAGCGTCGGTACAGAAGGGCCGAAGACCTTACTACATAACATAGTAACATGGTTGAATACTAGCTAAACTAAACTGCAAAATGAGTGGCACAACGCGTTAATCCTCCCAATGACACAGGCCGTTCTCGTTTCGAAGTCTGATCCGACAGCAGCGTTGCATCCCTCAGCAACACTTACTAAACATTCACCAAAACGCAAGCCTCCTGAAAGGGTGGCATCGTCCAGGCCACGGAAGATGTGACGATGACTTGACTGCATTAGAATCTAATTCACAAATATACCATGGGAAAGCTATTCGCAGTTGTTTGCTTACTTCACGAGCCTAGCTCATCCCGCATTTGACTACGCGCTCAGACGTACTTGTAGCAGCGGCCGTCGTAGCAGAAGTCGGCGTCCGGAGCGCAGCCTACCAACAATGTCAGCCAAATATTTCCCATTCAGGATAGGTTGGGAGGGTTTCAGGAGAAGTCAGTTTGGGGAGCAGGGTGGCTCCCCCGAGAGTCATGTAGGGACATGAACAGTGGACAAACAACAAAAACCATTGCTTACACTCCCGTCTGCAGCAGGGGCTGTACGGGCAGCAAAAGCCGTACGGGCAGAGGTACGGGGATCTGACCGGGCAGGCGGCCGCGGCACTGAGACTGTCCGCCTGGAGGACATCCGAGTTGGCGAGGCCCACGGGCACTGAGTTCTCGGTAACCTCCTTCTCAGGCAGAGGGCCGTCGAGAGCGAGAGCCAAGGGGGCCAGGAGGAGAGTGGCGATGAAGAACTTCATGATGAATGCAGTGTTGGAGGAGTGGAACAGCGTTGCGAAGTGGTAGGTTTTGCTTCTTGGTGTGGCGGAGTGAAGGCCACCGTGGAAAATGATTGGTATGCGTCGGGTCCCTTATATAGAGCGGTGCCCAGACACCGAGCGTAGGATCCTCGACATGTCCATGTTTCACAGAATATTTCGTACGACTATACTCGCTGCTTCGGTAAAACTGAACTCGGGCCAGCTCGTTGAGAGTCACAGGCGAGCACGTGCTTGAAAGCTCCCATCATTCGTGAGGCTATGGCTGAGCCCCGTTGAGCGCAGTGTTTCCCTACCGCATTCCTATACATACATGCGGAGCTGAGATACGTGGTCACTCACCACGCTTGCCGTGTATAATAAGCTTTAGATTGGCAAATCCTCTTCCAGTAAAAGAGCACCTGAGCTGCTAAGGCTTGAGTGCGAATACGTAAGACGGACCAACATGCTCCTCCGTGAGACAGATTTACCCATCTCATGTCTGTCACGCCACCAGCTCGAACCGTAGTGCTCTCATAACTCGTGTACCATCCTCAAGTCGGTCCGATACCGACACGGATACAGGTCCAGACTCCAAAGTCGAACGCGCAACGAGGGCAGTTCCCATATAGGAGGTGATGGATCACATTTGCGCACCATGCGCCAACCCGCCAACTGATATACCATGGACCCCGACCCGGTATTTGCCGCTTGTCCAGTTCTGTGGCTATGGAGATGAGAGATGTGATAGCTCGCTCCTAGACTATCAAGAGCCTGATGGTCGTCCGCAGAGCGACGTAATCAGCCAGACCCGTCGTCACACCTTCCCGAATAAGGCTTGAACAGCCTCACTAGGCTGCCGCACCAGCACGGCGATGAAGCTGTCACGATTCGAATGACCCAGCTCGATTGGTCCTACCGATAGCTTGTCGCCGTCCACCGATGCCGATCTCATCTTGGTAGCTGGGTTGTCATGAAACACGGCCACAGAAAACGACATAATTATCGAATCAGATTAGCAACCTGGGTCAAGGTTACGAGGCCTACCGGCCTTTTCCCAGCCTACGGTAGTTGACCACACCCAGCCGGTGCAATGACTCCTATCTCAAACTGAAGCTTTCCTGCCTACTCAACCAATCCTCCATGGTCTTGAAGATCTCTCCCTTCATGATTCCGTCGACAACGGCGGGTCCGATATACCTCCAGGATAGGCCGTCTTCATGTCGAGCGAGCACCTGAGGAAGTGTCGCTCCCAGGAAGACACCTATCGTATCTCCGGGTTTCGCGTCACACGGAAGTATCATCATACGGCCGCTCGTTGTGAGTCCGAAACTTCTCCCTGGCCATCGAAGCAAGAGAAGATTGAGATACCTTCCTTGCCAGAACCGATGCTGTTCATCTGGGTCGAGAGCGGGTTTATCCGTGTCGAGAGCGGCTTCATGTTCCTGCTTCTCAGCAAGAGGCTCCAGGAATGCGAGAAGACTGTCCAGAACATCGTTATCTGGAAGATCAAAGAATACAGGGTTTTTGAACCAGGTATATTCGCCGATGAGAATGCCCAGAAACCGTCGGTGGTTGTCGGCGCCGTCAGGAACGTAGGCCGCACAGTCATTGATGAAGTTCAATACTCGACGTGCAGTCATATAACCTGTCACCTCATCAATGACTTGCTTGAAGGGAAACACATCCCCGACCGTGTCAACACATAACCCAGTAATACGGAGGGTCTCCTCGCCGCCTCCGCCAGTTGCATGAGGTGGGCTATTGAAGGACGGTAAGAAAGACGTTGTGATTGGCCTCCCAGCCCTGCAAGCCACCACGGGCAGGTAACCGGCATTCCAGCCGCTGCCCCAAGCCGGACACCATGAAGGGGCATTTGAGCGGGCCGTGGTTGGACTGAAGAGAATTGACGGCCAGTCTTTGACCCTCTCCAAGCACAGTCGGAAGAAGCTGGCATGAACCAGGCCGTAGTTCTGTTTAACTTCGTCCGAGTAATCCACCACCACCTTCTCCCGTATGGCCTCCGACAGCATACCGAGAACTGCGTAGACATAGTCCACTTTAACGGACGCGGCCTGGCTCAGCATGACCTGCATGGCCCCGTAAAGCCCCCCAACCTCCTTGCCGGGATCCTCCAGCCCCTCCTGCAACCGCATCAAGTTGTGGATGAGCTTTATGCCGTTGGTCGACCGCGTTACCTGGTCAGTCCCAATGTCTCGGACATGGAACACGGCGAGGTTCCCAACGAACTCTGATCTCATGGTTGCCACAGCAAAGTTAGCCACAACATGCCACTCGAGTTTCTGCTTGCCGCACAGGAACAGCGCATCGCGCGCCAGGACGATCTCCTGGACGATCCACAGCCGCTGAAACCAGGGCCGGGCGTACAGCAAGAAAGCGGCACGCCACAGCGGATCCGATGCAACCGGCAGTCGGTGCGACTCGAGATCGTCGAGCTTAATAGGATTCCATTTTCCCTCGCAGTCTCGCAACGTCCAAATACTATCCGTGAGCTCGGGTAGCAGGACACACGCGAGGTCGCTGTCATCGGCGGCCTCGCCCAGCCAGACCAGGACCCGGTCCGCATAGGCATAGAGCTCGCCCATGCCGGCGACCTGGTCCGCCTTCTCCACGTCGTCGGCCTGGTTGATGCAGATGGCGTCCACCCATATCCAGGACGAGTTGGCGTGCCTGTAGAGTCCCCGCAGGGCTTGGCCTAGAGTCCGGGAGATGCGATACCGTGCGTCGTTGCAGATACATTCTTCCTCCTCTGTTGAGGTACCCCATGCGTACGACAGGGCTTGGTACTCAGGGGCGTCGTGGATGGAGAATGTCTTCATGCGAAACCTGATTTCAGGGTAGACCTCGAGGATCCTGAGGACGCGGAACTCGTCGGGCTCGATGCGGGAATAGAGGTACCGGTGTGATGTCTCTTCCTCCATGTCGTTAGATGCGATTTTTGGGAGAGCGCTGCCTTGCTTGGCTGCCGGGACCTTAAGCGGGAACGCGACTTCTCAGAGAACGGCTGGGAATTGCGGAGTACTCGTTTGATACATCATGTTGCATGAAAGCGGGGTTGCTGCGCCGCAGGAACGTCTTACATGCAGCAGTTCCGGGCAACCACTGCATGTTCGGATCCGCTTAGCCAAGTGTATGTCTAGCTCTGCGGCCCGTTAACTATTCTCTGATTCTATACCCTCATTACGATGACCTCACTCTAACTGAAGAGTCCGAATGGGACTGTTGGGGGGGGAGAGGGGGGGGGCGGGGTGATTCTATGAAGACGGATAACAAGGTCGAGATATGTTGCGATCTAGCTTAGTTAACTGAGAAGCTCCCTGATATCCTCGATCCGCTGCATTTTCTTCTCGTCGTCGGACATCATGCCGAGAGATGTTGCACTACGATACGTCAGTAATGCCGTAGTATGCTAGAGGAACAAGAGGGAACTCACATGAACTTCTTGCGCTCCTGTACCTTGAGCATCCTCTGTTCGACACTGTCCTTCACGATAAATCGATAGACTTTCACCTCATCTTCCTGGCCCATTCGATGGACCCGGTCGATAGCCTGTGCTTCAACGGCGAAGCTCCACCAGGGGTCCATCATGTAGACCCTCTTGGCGCTTGTCAGGTTGAGGCCAACACCGCCAGCCTTGAGACTGATAAGGAGGATGGTAAACTTGTCGGACTCCCTAAACTCGTTGAGCACTGTGGCGCGCGCTTTCTGGGCCATGGATCCATCCAGCCGAAGGAACCGCATATTGGCCAGGGCGAGAGCTGGTTCGATGAGGGAGAGAAAGGAAGTGAACTGGCTAAAGATGACGGCTTTGATCGTCGGATTATCTCTGCGAAGATCGCGGAGGTGCTTGATCAGAGCGACGATCTTCGCCGAAGAGTTGCCGGCTCCGAGCCGCTGGAGGGTAATGCGCGGCCCCTGACCGATGTTGGCAGCGTCCGGGTCGTCATCGTGGCGCACCACTTCAAACAAATCGCGTTCATTGATGTCTTCACGACACTGGAAACAACGAGGTACCTCACGCCGGTCCATCTGGTGCTTGATGTAATCCAGTAAGCAATTCTTGCAAGCAGAATGCCAGCATCCGGTGACGGTCTGGTCGACCATCGGTTCTTCGGCACAAATGGGGCACTCATTGACGGCCTCGTCTCGAATCTGGCTCAGGACGTGAGCTCCAAAGGCGTTGGAGTCAGCAACATCGTCTGTCGTCGCTGTGAAGCGCTCGATTAGAGACTGGAGGTCCATGTCGTCTGCGAGCCCGGCAGCGGCGTCGGCGGCAGCCCCGGCCTCCTCCTCGTCAGTGACGATGTCTCGGTTGCGAACAAGAATAGGGTGACAGCATGATTGGCGTAGACGAAGGATCTGAGCGAAAATGCTGGTGAAAGCCTTCATGACGGTGCCTGCCTCGACGTTGGCGAAGAAGGTCCGTTTCGCCCGGGTGAAGATGTAATCGTACACATCACGCTCCGACTTAGAGAGTTCAATGTCCACGATCTCGATTTGCTTTGGCGGAAGAGCTACCAAAGGCTTCCCGTCTGGTGTCTTCATGTCCTTTGTCCTCCTCATGACGAGCGGTTCTAGGACGGTCTGGACAACGTCCAACGCCCGCATGTAGTCTTTGGACTCAAATGGCACCGTGATGAAGGTCCGCCAGAAGGAGAAGTTGTTCCACGGCTCGACCCGGAGAAAGCGGATGAGACTGAAGAGATCCTCGAGCTTGTTGACGATGGGAGTCCCCGTCAACACCCACCGATGCTTTGCTGCAATCTCATAACAAGCCCTGGCCGTCTTGGACTGGCGGTTCTTGATGCTGTGGGCTTCGTCCAGGATGACACGGAAGAACCTCAATGAGAACAGCCCACGGATGCTGGCCCTGTCCCCATTCTCGGCGGCTATCTGACTGAACTCGGATAGCACCACGCCGTAACTGGTAATGACCACGTCAGGGGCATTGTTGGCGTTGGCTTCGCAGCACAGCGCCAGCAGATCGGCGTTCTTCTCGTTCCCGTAGTACACCATGGACCTCAGTGTGCCTTCTCTGGAAGCGTTCTCTGCCTCGCTCTGCCACTGTGCGAGGAGAGACATAGGGGCAACAACCAAGGTTGTGCATGGTGCGTTCGTGACAGCGTTTCGCTCTTGGACGGAAGGGAGACGCGGAAGCTGATTGACTGAGGACGGTGGTCGGCTGGCTTTGCGGGCCTCGATTGCTATGCCGGATTTGTGCGTGTGGATGAGGCTGAGCATCTGGATGGTCTTGCCCAGGCCCATCTCATCGGCCAAAATGCCGCCGAGACAGTGTTGCTCTTGTCGTGGAAACTGCAGAGAGAGCTCTCCAGAGTATGGGTTTACGTAGAAAGTCGGCTGCTCGGGAAACTCTGGAAGCGCCTTATCATCGTGGTCTTTCGTAGGCCAGGCATACTCCTCCCACAATGGATGCATCGACGTCTCTCGCTGTTCGTTCCGCACGTTCCTTTCCTTTTCCATCATCCAATGCAGTGACTGTTTCTGATATGGGCGCAGAGTCATGGCAAAAGTCTCGGCAGGCTCTGCTTGGGGCGTGTTGAAGTCGAACGATTGCGCCTTCTTGTATAATGTGTCGAGTTGGTCTTGCTCAAGCTCCTTGCCGTCGTCATTATCATCTGACGGGGACGACGAGCCAGTGTCGTCTCGATCCTGGGGCCCCGGTTTCCCTTTTTCTTTGTTCTCGGCCATCTCGGCCGCCTGGAGCAATTCTCGCCGCTGATTCTTCGCTCCCATCTCGTTCCCTCTGGTTGGGAGAAGATTAATCTCCTGGAAAAGCTTGACGAGTGCGACCTGCCTCAACCGCAAGCTTCTTTCTTCTGACGTTTCGGTCTCGTCAAAGCGACCAACGGTCCTGTTATCGGCAGCCTGGAACCTGCGGCTAGAGAAAGCCGAGCTCAGCAATGAGCATCGAAGTTGCAGAAAGACCGTGTCGTTGGTGCGCAGTCTCTCGGGCGCATAGACACAGGTTCCCTCGAACTTGCAAATCTTCTGGTCCATGAGTGTCGAAACCCAGTCTGCTGTTTCCTTGACCAGACGGCCAATCTCCCTTCCGGCGCCGTCGGTGAAGCGGACAATCACATCAACCCTCTTAGCTGCAGCTGCGCTGATGCGGGGCCCCGGCTGTCCTCTTTGTGGTGCCGATTTGGGAAGCTGTATCTTTTGGCGCTCGATATTGACGACATCGCCATGCCTCAACAGATTCACCCCGCTGCGTGTTGTCCATCCTTCAACGCCAAATGCGCCAATGTATCTCGAATCGGGCATCGGTGTCAGGGTAGAGAACCGACTTTTCGTGTTTCGCTCGCTCTGGGATGTGGGAGCTGATAGCGGGTGCCGGGCAGGGATCTGGGCCGGCGCTTTTCTTTTTAGACTCTTCCAGGTGCCGTCGAGGTACATGTTGATTGCCCGTTCAATATCGTTGCCGCAGTTCTCGCGAAGGAGCGCCATAACATCCGATTCAACACTCCCGCCAACGAAGCTCTCAAACATCGCCTCGTCGAACGTCGCAAGGCTGGCATCGTTATCCTGGCACCCATTTTGAGATTCAACGGGGCCTCGACTGGATGGTGCGGTGACATGTCGCTGCGGGGGGGACGAGTTGGTGAAGGAGGGAGAGCTCACGACGGATGCCGCATCAGGTTTTGGTTGGGTATCGCTCCCTGCGTCGTCGACGAACGTCGTCTTGCTCTGCAGGACAGCAATCGAATTGCGGGGTGTTTCGATGGTCGCATCTTCGAAGAAACGGCGCTTCTTGTTCGGCGGCTCATCGGAGTTGGCAAAATCCATTCTATCGTTCTGCTGGGTATCATGGGAACCGTAGCCCTTGAGACACAGGTGTTGCACCGCTTGCCCGCTTTCGTGCAGATGGAGACGCGCCAAAGGCGACACCGCGGATTTGGTGTCGCGAAAATCAGGTGATTTCGTGTCGCTGGCTATTGATTAACGGACCCCACCAGTTAGCCCACGTCAAAAGCTCGAATTTCTGCTCCAATTGCATCACGTCACTTTGACAATGGACGCTGGTTGGCCACTGCCGCGAGTAACAACACTCAAGTCCCTAAACTGAAGATGAGGTTATTGAGTTAGCGGCTTCTCGACACATGTTTTCCATTCGCGTTATCGGTCATGGCCTGAGACAGGCGTCTTGCCCGGCTCATATGGGCCGCCGCGGTCTCGGCACAACTGTAGATGCAGCAGACGTGGCTCAGGCGCGAAAGTACTGCTTGAACCAGCTCAGGTCCGCATCCATGTCACCAATTTCTTAGGTCTTTGGAGATATTCTTTTCTGACTGGCTGCAGAAATGGCGACTATGAAGCCTATCTCATCCGGCACTTCATCCCTCGATCGGTGCAGGACGCCTACGACGCCCTCCGGACGCTGAACCTTGAGCTGGCTCGCCTGCCCGAGACCGTGTCGAATCCGACGATAGGCCGTTTCCGTATGCAGTTCTGGCGAGATACGGTCAAAACTACTTTTGCTGGCAACCCGCCAAGAGAACCCATCTCGATCCTACTTCACAGTGCTATCACGAACCTCACAGCCCGAGCAGGGGCCGGCGGTGCAAGCTCGCTCAAATTTTGGCTCTTGCGCTTGATCGACACGCGGGAGAAGCGCATGGAGAACAAGCCCTTCGTCAGCTTGGCGGGTTTGGAGGACTACGCCGAGAACACGTATGCCACGCTGATGTACATGACCCTCGCCGCCATGCCGCTGCGGTCGGTGCATATGGATCATCTAGCAAGCCATATCGGCAAGGCGTGCGGCATCGCCGCCACGTTGCGGGGCATTCCCGTCCTTGCGGCACCCTCACGGCCGATCCAGGGTCCTTCGGGATCTAGTGTTGGAAACACCAGGAGCCCCGCACTGCTACTCCCTCTCGATGTCATGGCTGAGGTGGGCTTGAAGGAGGAGGATGTCTTCCGCCGCGGTCCGCGGGCTGAGGGGCTGCAGGAAGCTGTCTTCGAGGTCGCCACACGGGCCAATGACCATCTCATCACGGCGCGAGAAATGCTCAAGAATCTGCAGTCTGGAAAGGAACCCGGGCATGACTACGAGCATCAAGGGGAGCCTGAGCACAAGTATTCCGGTACGCTGCACGGCGGTGAGGACACAATATCCGACATCCAGCGTGGCTTCAGCGTGCTTTTGGAGGCCATCGCGGCCGGGGACTACCTTCGGCGACTAGAGAGGGCTAACTTTGACCCGTTCAAGGTCAAGGCTGGCTGGAATCTCCCTTGGAGGCTCTGGGGGGCACACAAGCGTCACGAAATATAAACGAAAACCCCGCGCTCGTATTCGACCGCGATGTCTGCATCTTCCTGATGCTGTCTCGGAAATCTTCCCTGCGCTCCTCGCAAACTTTTCAACTCTGGAACTCGGTGAACTGAAATGCTTCCGTATCCATCCCCACTGGCAATGCGAGTGAGAAATCATTTCATGACCCAGTGTCGAAGGGACTTCTCCAGTCAACCGGCTAGAGGCGGCTGTTTGTTAAAGATTTTCTGAGAACGTCGAAGGCAAGAAAAAAATTGTTCCTGGCGGCTCCGCTTCGAGGCTGGGATGGGACCCGCCGGGCCGCTTTGGTCTACCCGCTCACCAAGCCAGAGAACAGCCATGCTATCCGTATGCAGTGCATAGAAGCCGACATCAGCACAATGAGTAGGGACTGATCATTGTAGGAGGTAGTTCGACTTCACCTATGCAAGACGCCCAAGCCTTCACTCAGCGCTGTGAGTCAGGTGCATGTATGTCTTACACCTCATGCTACGTTGAATATCTGTTGCAAACCGGCCGTGGATGGCCGCGCCGACCCATTCCGTCACCAGCGGCCCGAGGGTTCCTGCAAGATCGGCCGGCTCCAATGTCCAGGAATCTGAAGCACAGTGGAACCAGCCTGCATGGGAACCGGGCTCGGCGTTCGGGATCGGTCATCACCACCGCAGGAAGCAAAACGAAGACTTTTCCTTGACTTCGGTCGAAGCCCGGGGCGGTTTTTCATTTGGTCATGGCGCTGCAGCTGTGAGGTTTAACGTTACTCGATGGCGTCTGCGTGGCGGCGCCCAATCAACGTCGGAACCGGGCATTGGGATCGATGCCTTCCGTAATTTTCGGGCACATGAGCCTCTGCATATGGCTTGCAGGTTTGAGCCCAAGAACAACATCTCCGAGGGACTGGACCCATTCTTCTAAGAAATTGAGAGCAACTCGATTTGAAGACAGAAAAACGATTTGTTAAGATTCATCAGAGCACAGCTTGTTATAAGAATCATCACAGTGACAAGGCTTCCGGAATCGAGAACCCATGCCTTACTCCGTCCGTACTCCCTCCCATGTACTCGCATACGGGGTGCGGCTTATTCTGCTCTACACGTGTTTGTTTTGCATCAGTTTTGTGGCCGAGCCCACTTCAAGCATACAGGGCGAGTGATCTTCAACGGTAAGGTGTTTCGCTCGATGCTGTTCGCCTGTGAAAGTGAGCAGATACGTCAGCTCTGCACCCTGTCGTGGTATGCCAGGTGACCTTGAACTGGAACAGATCAATGCTACCTGGTCAGTCCTTGCCGGCCGTGTGACCCTTCGACATGGCCTTGGCTTTGATCACCCAGTCACCGTCCCACATATATGGGGCAGTTCGTTGGCCCAGAACCGTCTCGACCATGCGTTAGTCTTCTTTCGAAAGTGCCATGCAATTGACTTTCATGGTCGCTTGCCTGCAGCATATAGGCAAAGTACTTCGCGAGTCACCCGTGCTGCACGGGGACGTAACTTGTAACGTCTGTACGGTAAGGATTGTATCGCTAACCGTTGGCAGTCCTCGAAAGTTCATGGCGGATAGCCGCTTCCGCGTGAATTGACCATGGATCTCGCCCAATACCGTACAGTAGCGGCAGCAATGCCCGATCTCAGAGTTGTACTATGCGTCGCATGAAGTGGGCACTTGCGAGCGCGTATAAGGCGGCACGGCACGGCAGAGGCAAACAAGGGCTTCTCACTCAGCCAACGCCCTGCTCACATCGAAAGTGCGCGACGGCAGCTGCTGTGGGGCCAAGGTACCATTTCGGTCCACCAACTTACATCCCATTACTTGATGAAAACGTGCTTGCATCATTTATGGAAGCAATGAGACAGCGAATATAAGGGCGGAACCCGATTCTTTGAAGACTCAATGTCAATGTCTGAGATTTGTTCTCTTTTTTGCGTTAAACTCGACCTTTTGAAGCCGACACAAGAGTCCGGATACGGTTCTCTCGACTCTTGCCCAACACTGAAGCTACCTTGGGACTGCTTTTAACATACCTCACACGCGGTTGTCGCCTTGCTCTCTTTCGTCTTGCTCTTCCCCCCTTACGAAGCTGGACCCGGTGCCGAGATTTAGTCTGCCACCTTAGTCTGCCACCGACAAATCAGAGGTGTTCCGTAACAAGTCTTTTGACGTCGAGAGTTTACAAGAGGGTCCTCCTGTTGATGGTGGTTTGAGGTACTTGGAGCCCTGTTTGTTCCCCACACGTCACGCATCACGCACGGCTGCATCATAGTGGCGTGGCTAGACGGGCCCTTGGATCTCTTTTATTCGCCCGCCGCCCATCCCCGCCATTTAGCAGGGTGTACGGTAGCTCTCTGAAGCCGACAAAATGCCACATCGGGTTGTGGATCTCTTCCGGTCATCGGCGCATTCGCTTGAGATCCAAGTGTCAAGTCTCACCAAGAAGTCAGCCTCGGGTGCGACACGGAGGCGATACTCTCCCGACAGGGCTGCAAAAGGCTCCAGGAGTTCCGAGCGAACTTCATCCTCGGTGTTGATTCTTGAAGACGATTTGGACGGCGTTCCTGCCCCGCCATACACACCACATGCCCGGATGGAGGGTTCTCGTGCAAGCAGCTTCTCCTTAGATTCGCACAAGGAGCATGGGTCCAGCCACCACCATCATCACAAGATCTCATTTCCCGGCGTGCACTTCGGTCGATCCAGCAAGGATAGCCACAGCTCGTCGCCTGCTACGCTCGACTGGGAGCTCGAGTCTCCGCCGCTTGTCATGTATGGCGATCCCGAAACCAGTAGCGGCGCGCTGCTCTCGGGCCAGCTGTTTTTGAACATCAAGGAAGAGGGCCTGGAGATTGACTCGCTGTACGCAACGCTCAGTATCCACGTTACTCAAAAGAAGCCGTTCGCGAATCACTGCGCCGAGTGTACGAACCAGCGCACAGAGTTGAAGAGGTGGGACTTGCTTCAACATCCGCTAGCCATGGCTAAAGGTAGGCTTCTGTTCTGCCCCTTTCCCCCGCTTCCCACGCGCGTCATGCGAGAAACACGGAAACTGACAAAGCGATGCAGGCGAACACTCGTTTCCATTCTCGGTGCTGCTTGACGGGCACCTCCCAGCCTGCATGGACAGCCCGTTGGTTGCGATCTCGTATGAGTTCAAGGCTGAAGCTCTTCCTCGAAGAGGGACTCCATTGGCGCCCATCAGGGTCGAAAAGGTCCTTGACGTCAGGCGCAGCCTTCCTACCTCCGAGACGCCGCACCACTCTGTACGCGTCTTTCCTCCCACCAACATCAAGGCCAGCGCACATTATCCTCATGTGATCCACCCGATCGGCAACTACACACTCGCGCTCCGTCTCGACGGCATTGCAAAACTCAATTCCAAGGTCAACACGGTCGAGTATTGGAAGCTGAAGAAGCTTATTTGGAAGCTCGAAGAGACGATCAAGACTGTGGCGCCGGCCTGCGGACGGCACAGCCCCAAGCTCGGCCAGGGTGTGGAGGAGCAGCACAATAAGAAGGGCGTCCTTCGAACCGAAACTCGGGTCATTGGGGAGAAGACGCTTTTCTCCGGGTGGAAGAGCAACTACAGCAGCCCGACCGACAGCATGATCGAGCTCGAGCTGGACTACAGCCTTGCGAAGCACGCCAAGTACGCCTGCGACAGCAAGAGCCGCGACGGGACTGAGGTGACCCACCAGCTCATGGTCGAGCTGGTCGTCGCGCAGGAATGGGCTCCGATGAACAAGCCGTCGCTTGTGACGCATACGGGCGTTGGCCGCATCCTGCGGATGCACTTTGGCACCATACTTACGGAGCGGGGAGGTATCGGCATCAGCTGGGATAACGAGGCACCCCCGATCTACCAAGACGTGCCCCCCAGTCCACCCGCGTATTCTCAGGAAACCATCTTCTCGGCTGAACACACGATCGATGAGGTGGTCGATTCCCTGGACGGTTATGTTCATGGGAGCAACCTGTCCCGATGCTCAGCGGAGGTGGCTGTCGATGGACACTGGGGAGCAAGATTTGGAGGGAGTTAACGGGGCAGCTCACAACACGGCTCCAGGAGCCAAGGCGAGAACCGGGGGATGGCAGTGTGAGCATCGGCTTTTCTTAACATTGTGAAGCGGGCGGTTTACTTTGGGAGGGTTTGGTTGGCGGCACTGTGAGTGAAATCATGCTTGTGGCTTGAGGCGTTTTGGTTGCATGGAAGATACCCATTGGTCATTGACCTCCGGACCTCTTATTATTGTGCTTTCTTCTCTTTGTTTCAAGCAAACGAGGGGCTTTCATTCCGTGGGAGTCAAGATGGTGTGGACGGAGGGCAAAAAAAGGGGTTAGGTTCGGGATCTGCTGCTTTGAGGCGAATAACATAGGAACGGCATTCATGATTGGGACTACATGCTCAAAACACCTCGGAAAAAGTAACTGAATCCCTTGTGCCTCATTGCAGCTTTCTAGCTTCGAGCGAGTTCTGCACATGTTGTGACTCGCTGGCAGCTTCTCTGGCCTCCACTCGGCCCCTGGGTCATCTGCAAGCGCCTGATGTGAACGATGGCAATGCATTGCACATATCACAGAACCAATCTCGCTAACACTTTTGAGACCGAGATACAATAACTACAGTACTTGCGTCGAAACGCAACCAACTGGAAGATGTTCTATTTCGTCGTCCACCAGAAATCCTCAGCGTCGTGTTCGTGCCACTGGCATTTTTTGGGGGTCATGCCAGAGGAGATAAACGCGGGGTAGCTGTGGATCATGGCTAGGAAATATTATCGATAACGTTAAAGCCTGTGGCGCTTCAAGGTCGTGACTGCTGACCACGCGGCGCGATGACTCCGATAGGTAGGAGCCTTCGACTCAGCCGGCGAGCCAAATCGTCAACCAGGTGTCTGTCATCTATTTGAACCACGGGATTTGGCTGCAAAGCCCAGAAAGCGTTTTTTTTCCAACTCATCATTCCAGTGTTCTCTTCATCCAGCGCCTCTTCAGCTTGACGGCTGCAGCAGCTCCACTACAGTATCAATTCAGTTATTCCTAGTCCAATGGTCCGGTGAGGTCATCGCTTCTATACCGACCCGCGAGTCAATAGGGCGTGACCATGACCAGCAAAGCGAAACAATTACCGCACGAGAGGCGGAAAGGCGAAGCCGCCCTGAGCGACTTTGCCGAGTACGTTGAGAAGCAGCAGGCCCTGCGCTACCCCAGTGCCAAGCACGCGCCAGCGGCAGGGACGGCAACGAAGGGCGCTCTGGGGCCCGAACTCGAGCACCACGAAGAGTTGGAGGACATCCTCGACAGCCTCGATCTTTCCGATCCGACCCCGCGCGTCAGGTTACGACAGCTGCTGCTCACGGACAGCGCCGACGCCGACGCTCTGCGGAAACTGGCCGATGTCGTGAAGGAGCGGTTATGGGAGGGCCATGGCGAGACCGTATTCGACATTGGCTTTGAGAACAATGGCGAGAGCATGAAGCTGTCGCGTGGCGAGTGGGATGTGGCATACAAACGATTAGTCGAGGCGGCCAGGACGTTGCGGGCCGATACCCAATTATTGCTGACCAAAAACGTGGGCGGCGAGCTCGACGGGGCGCCGACAAAGGATGGAGATTGCAGCGGGAAAGTCATGATCCGCCGGGCTCCAGGGACGGTTGAGGAGGTGATCGAGACGCGGATAGCGGTTGTTGGGAATGTCGACGCCGGGAAGAGCTCGATGCTTGGGGTCCTCGTCAAGGGGGACCTTGACGATGGCCGTGGCAAGGCACGCGTCAATCTGTTCAGGCACAAGCATGAGATCGAGACTGGCCGCACGTCTTCGGTCGGCATGGAAATTATGGGCTTTGACACGACCGGCCAGGTTGTCGTCTCGGACACTCCGGGACGCAAGTTGTCGTGGGAGGAGATTGGGAAGCGCAGCGCAAAAGTCATCACCTTCACGGACCTGGCGGGTCACGAGCGGTACCTCCGTACCACGGTTTTTGGTCTGCTGTCGAGCAGCCCGAACTACTGCTTGCTCATGGTTGCGGCCAACAACGGCCTCATCGGCATGAGCAAGGAGCACCTGGGCATTGCCCTCGCCCTCAACGTGCCCGTCATGGTGGTCATCACCAAGATTGATATATGCCCGCCGCAGATTCTCGAGCAGACCATCACGCAGATCACGCGGATCCTCAAGAGCCCCGGGGCCAGAAAAATACCCATATTTATCACGAATCACGAAGAGTGCATTAACACGGCCACCCAGTTTGTCAGCCAGCGGATATGCCCCATTTTCCAGGTGTCCAACGTGACGGGTGAGAACCTGGACCTGGTTCGGTCGTTCCTGAACATCCTTCCGCACCACGGCCGCTACGACGCCGACGCCGCGTTCGAGTTCCATGTAAATGACACCTTCAGCGTTCCGCACGTCGGGACGGTGGTCTCGGGCATCGTCAAGTCGGGCGTAATCCACGCGGGAGATGACGTCCAGATTGGCCCGGACTCATTGGGGCGTTTCATGCAGACCTCGATCCGCTCCATCGAGAGGAAAAGGATAGGTGTCCCGGCGGCATCGGCCGGCCAGTCTGCCTCGTTTGCGTTGAGGCGAATTCGGCGAAAGGACGTCCGCAAAGGGATGGTGGTGCTGCCCAAGACGGATGGATCACCTCCCAAGGTGTACCGCGAATTCGTGGCCGAAGGTACTTGTCCTCCGCCCAGCTCAAGCTTCCAGGAGACTCGTGGTGCGGAATGCTGACTCCAGCGACAGTGCTCATTTTGTCGCACGCAACAACCATCAAAACCAAGTACCAGGCAATGTTGCACGTCGGCCCGGTTTCCCAAACCTGCGCCATCATCGACGTGGACCGCCCCTTCATTCGGACCGGAGACCGGGCGACGGTTGCGTTCCGGTTCGTGCAGCGGCCCGAGTATCTGGCGCCTGGTGATCGGCTCCTTTTCAGAGAGGGTAGAACAAAAGGACTTGGAATTGTCAAGAGCGTTGGATACGATCCCTCCAAACCGCTCATGCCGAAGCAGCCCGAGGGTGGTATCGGCGACGGGCGGGACCCCGCTGAGTCGGGTGCTGCGAAGGATGGAATGCTAGGGCAGCCCCCGACGTCCAGGTCGGGGCATGAGCTATGAGTATGGTACGGGTTTTAAGCTTTGTGAACGTCTATCACCTGCGGCCGCATGGTTCAGTAAGGCTTGCAGGCTCATATGCCAGCGGCGGCAACATGGCTATTGGGGCATGATTTGTTTTCAGGGCTTCGGGTCTCTTCAAGATATAAGAGATAGTATGCGGTGGGGGAGGCGCTTTGGAGTTGCAATGTCGAGATTATGGTAATGTCCGCGGGTTTGTCACGCAAACAGAAAGATACTGCTTGTGGCCAACGCCAACGCGTATGCTTCACTCTCACGTCTTCTCTGCATCGATTCCTATCAGGCTTGTCATGCGGAGTTTTCTGCTCTCGAGGCAATGAAACGCAATGTGTATCGGGTGTACACAACAAGGCACGGGATGGGGTGATGTTGTTTACTCGGCTCGGCCGTACGAAGGGAGGCTCCATTGATTCAGGCTATCAGTGTATCCGTCCCTGGTCATGTATTTTACACACGGTGAAAATGGCTGTTGACGTGCCTTCGCTGCACCATGTAGCGGGCCTAACTTGCTCCTGAGGGTCATCTTATCGTGCCTCGTCGTCAACCAAATGATTAAAACGATCCAGCTTGCGGAGATATGAGGACCACACTATCGCCTGGGGAAATGGTTAGGTAATCGTGAATTAGGTGCGGGTGCCGCTCGGGGGCGTTACCTCTCACAAACAACATCTCGGATTTCTTGCTCACAGTCTGCATGGCGCTGCGTTAGTTTGTTATGTAGCGTACGGGTGCCGGCAGGATGGACAGTACCTTGACTTCCTCGTCATCCTCCTCGTCCACGACGTAAATGGTCTCCTCCACGTCTCCGAGTACCAGGTTGCAGTGGCTGTCATAAGCCTAACGTCAAGGTTCAAAACATGTAAGTCGGGGGTGACGTGAAAGGTCATGGAGTTTCAAAGGTGGGGCTCTTACATGGAGACGGCCCTTGAGCTCTCGGTCACCTCTGAGCTTCACGCAGACCACTTCGTCAAGCAGCAGGCGCACGAGGTCGAGGGGCTCTGACACACCGCTGCCCTCATCCCTGGCTTCGGCCATGGTTGGGATGCAATGGATCGCACGTCTGGGGTTGAGTTCCTCGGTGATCTCCGAATGCCTGTTTGTCTCATGAGGAACTGGGCGCGAACAGTGGCAAAAAGGGCAGACAGAATCGCTTGGGCTATCCGAATGGGCACGGGCCACTAAGCTTTGGCCAGCCGCCTTGAAGTTAATTTTGCCCAACAATTCCGCCTGCCCAGCTGGGACTGAGGTACGTTCCCCAGACTTCGGATTTCTTGGGGCTCTCAACTCCGGCCGCAACCTGCCGCCGAACTCATGCAAGAGGCCGCGAGTGAAGAGGCTATGTAGTTGAAGCAAAGACATTCTGAAGTGCACCCCAGGCCCAGCGGTGTGCAGTACATGATTATGTGTTCCCAGCGCCTGTAGAAACAGCACTCTACAAGGTTGCCCGACTAACTACATTTAACGGCCGGTCATTTTCAAGGCCCCGGCACTCGTCAACGACCCCGGACCTTCTCTAACCTCAAGTCGTTCATGTACATGTATCTGCTCAGCGAAATCCACCCATAGCGAAACCAAACCATCTGGCTCTTGTGGGCCGACACCATTGCCTTCCACGCCGTCATGATGCTGCCCTGTCCCGCCAGTCCGCTGAGGAAGACCAGGCCCCCGGGGTGCTGCTTGTCGGTCTTATCGGCGCCGATAGCCCAGCTCGCCAGTGTGGCCAGCACGTCCAGAAATGCCGTGTACTTGCGTGCAAGAGGCACCGAAGTGAGCGTGTAGAGATCCACGGGCGGCGCCCAGCCGGGCTTGCCGGCCACCAGCGCCGCAGCGAACTCCCTGGCGCCGCGGTACAGCGAGATGTGGTTCGGGTGGCCCGAGACGCCGCCGGCGTCGAAGGTGATGAGCACGTCAATAGAAGCGGCCGGGGCGGCGTCGCTGTCGCGGGAGCGGGCGAGGTTCGGCGCAAAGGCCGAGCACAGCAGGGTCGAGATGTTGGCGCTGTCCCAGGTGGTGCTCATGCTGTCGGGGAACTCGGGCTTGTCGACGACAAAGACGTCGTCGGCTTTGCGTAGGCCGAGGATCAGGCCCGATTTGGCCAGTTCCCGCTTTCTCGTCTCGCCCAGGCCATCGGCATTGCCTGTTCGGAGTGTCAGCGGCCAGCTTGGACGTGCCTCGAAGACACCAAGGAATTCATACCGCTGCTTAGACAGAGGATCTTGACATGGTTGCCCGTTTCTGGTCTGGCAAGCGCCATCACAGTGGGCGCAAAGAACATGGCCTCGTCATCGGGGTGCGCAATCAGCAAGCAAATGCGCTTGTTGCGCAGCGCTGGGAAGCGCGCCGAGACCACCGATGCCGTGTAGATGTACAGTGACGGGAGGACGACGGCGAGCACGCAAAGCAGCATGAACGCGTCCATCATGCCCAGGACTACACCCAAAGCGCGATGGTAACCCAATTGGCCGACAGACAGGTCTGTGCCTTACTGCCCGCCCCGCTCTGCCTCTGCCCCGACAACGGACACTGGCGCAGCTCTGGCTTGACTCAGGGAGTGGCCTCACGTCTCGCTTTGGAACCGCAGAACTCCTGAGAAACTGACGAGGGTGCCGGGCAGGCAACTGGCTTACAGACTGGCCAGTAAGTCAGAAGATTCTCTGCGCGGAACGTGCCGGGGCTTGAAAAGGACAGGGCTGCAGACGGGTCCAGGGAAGCTGGTCAATAGTTGTGAGCTCAGAGCACCCAAAAAGGTCACGACGCTTCGGGATTCCTTTGGGAAGCAACTTAGCCCAGTGAGGGTCCCATGTATCTTGTTTCGGTCGGCGGTGAGAGTCGCGCACGGGGTGAGCAAGGAGCTGACGAGAAGCTCCAGAAATTCATCAATGACACCTTTGCGATTGGAGAACCCTTGATTGCAGTCGGGTGGAGCTACTTTACATCTCAAACATCAAGTCAACCCCACTTTACATCTGGCCTGCCGCCCCTAAAATCACAGCATCTCGCCAGAGGGCCCGAGAAGAGTATTCAACCAGTGTAGGCGATACAAGGGATGCGCGCACGCGGCCAACATATGAAGTAGTAGGATTGAGGCCCCTAAGTTCGAATTTGCAACACAATTGATGATGCGACTGATACGCGTAGTAGTTATTTGACAGATCCTTTTTCCTACAATCCTCTTAGAAGACCCGACAGACTTTTTCAAGTTTGCCGAAATGCCAAGAAATGTAGCTTTCAAGACTGTTAACCTCGAGAGTTGAGGTCAAAGACGGAGTCATCAAGAACTTTACGCGTATCAGCCGCATCATCAATTGTGTTGCAAATTCGAACTTAGGGGCCTCAATCCTACTACTTCATATGGTGGCCGCGTGCGCGCATCCCTTGTATCGCCTACACTGGTTGAATACTCTTCTCGGGCCCTCTGGCGAGATGCTGTGATTTTAGGGGCGGCAGTGCCAGATGTAAAGTGGGGTTAACCTGGTGTTTGAGATGCACAGTACGAGACCCTTGAAAGCTGAATGTTGCCCGCAAGTCGTACCCACTGCGTGATGTTTCAACAATTCCATGATTTTCTATTCAGACCAGAACGAAGTGCAAGTCGACGATTATTAACGACGAATTTCATCTTGAGATGGATGCATTGTGCAACTGTGTTTCCAACCGTCCGTCTCCCTGAGATCACGGGAGCTCCCCAAAATGCTTGGCACAGAAATGGTGGGGCTGCAAAGGACCTCGTCAGGAATCTGGACAGCTCGATTCCGCAGGTCTCTGAACAAACAATGGAACTGATGCGAGCTCCATCTATTCGTACCATTTCACCTGCTCCCAAACCGCACAAACGTCGCCCCCAGCCGCTCGAGTCTTTGGGAAATGGCAAGAACACGCGACGAACAGTCTGCGTCCAATTTCAAGCTGAAACAGCCCGACCGATCCGGCCCATCGGAGAAGACGCTGCTCCAACTCGCCGAGGAGAGAGGCCTGTTCGACCAAGTGAAGCAGAGGGAGGACGAGATTGCGAAGAAAGCCGCCCGAATTCCTATTTCCAGGTCGCAGAAAAATGCCGATAGAGACAAAGACAACGAAGTTGGATTGCCGCCCTCCGTCGAGCGCGTGATGGAGACGCTGCTCTGGTCCGTGAGCCTGGCCATGCTACACTTCACCTTTGATGTTCTTGTGCAGCACCAGTATTCCATCGACAGAATAGTGTGGCCCAATATCTGGATGCGGTTTTGCCAAGCACTGTTGGGTGAGCTTGATTCTCCTGGCGTACACCTTCGTCGGCGTCGCGTTGCTAACATTGCCTCTGATGCTTCTAGTATTCGGCCTGCTTGTCTACGTTCTTCATCCCCACGCCGCGAACCCCCAACTGATTCCCGGCTTGTCTGCCCAATCTCAATTTGCCGTTCGGCAAGCTTTGTTCTTCACTGCGAGCATTGTTGCCGGCTGCTATCTGATTCATATTACCAACACATATGGCTACCTAGCCGTCATGAAACAGGCTCCTCCCATCGGCTGTCTCTGGGTCTGGTTTGTTATTGAATTGGAGCTCCCTTGGGCTGTTCTCAGCCTCACTGCTGCAGGGACCTTCCTATGGCAGAAGGGATACAGTATCAAATAAGTCCTACGGGAGAGTTGGCATGCAGCCTGAGAAAGCCCGCCTGTTCGAGTCTCCGATCAACGAGGCGGATGCACCGGCCCCAACATCGGGCCTTGTGGGTCTCTAGTGCCTCGGATCTCATCTTCCGTCCAGCGCTCTTGGCTCTTTCGGTGCCGGTAAGGGACATGGCCTGTACTTCAGCCTGAAGCTGCTGCAATCTCGTCCTCCTCGCATTCGACCCATGTATGCTTCGGCGTATCCAGACCATGTTCGGGGGCTACAGCGTTGACACTTCTTCTCCCTTAATCATCCGGGTTGGATGGATGTGTATCGCAAGTCCTTCCTCTTCGCACTTTCCGTTCCAAGACAGGGTGAACAGCGACAGGCGCGGGAGGTTGTCCCGAATTTGAAGCTAACTCGGCTCGGAAGCGGCAGACGACGGAGCTTTGGTGCAGGCATATGCGCCTGCCTCCATAGGGAGGTAGCGGGAGACGCGTATGAGCGCATTTCCGTCTAGCACTTGCCTCCAGAGCATAATGCCTTTCAGTCAGTCCTTCCTGGATGAGACGGAGGGTAGCGTCCGGGACTGGCAAGTTTCTCGTGGCGAATTCCCCTCGGCTCCCGCCTTTCGTCTGAACTCCCAGCAGCGCCTCGTGGGCCATCTGAAGTCGACATCAAACCGCATCTTGTTAACATCAGCGACCGGGTGCTGTCTTTATTACCTTGGAGTCTACTCGATCATCTCCGCCATCCGGTCCGGCAACCATGTTCTGGCCGGCCTTGCTTTCGATCGGGCTGTTTCTCACCAGAGAGCATGCCGCGAGTGCCCCTGCCGCGAACCTGACAACTCGAGATACCAGCGTCCCTCGCGGTGCCATCATCAACCACTGCATCGTTCCGGGCGTCGTTGCGCTCACATTCGACGACGGCCCATTCATCTACACGGAGCATGTGTTGGACCTATTGGATGAGTACGACGCCAAAGCCACCTTCTTCATCAACGGCGAGAACTGGTCACGAGCCATCAACGACTTCTCCACGCCCTGGCCCGGGATTCTGAGGCGGATGGACGCTGCTGGCCATCAGATCGGCTCCCACACATGGGGCCACGCCGACCTCTCGGTTGCCGATCACGACACGCGCGAGAACCAGATCGTGCAACTCGAGAAGGCGCTCTTCCATGTCATTGGCAAAGCCCCTACCTACCTTCGACCCCCCTACGCTTCGTGCACGTGGGAATGCCTGGACCACACAGCGCGGCTGGGCTATCATGTGGTCAACTTCGATGTCGATCCCAAGGACTACATGCACAACGACCCCGACGACATCGGGGTAGCTATGGAGAACTTTACCCGGCTGCTGGATGAGAATCGATGGGGATTGGATTCGTTCCTGGTGCTCAGCCACGACTCGCTCCGGAACACGGCCGACTCCCTGGTCCCTTACATGCTCATGGAGATCAAGCAGAGGGGTTACAGGGCCGTGACGGTGGGCGAGTGTCTAGGCGACCCGGCTGAGAACTGGTACTGGCATACGTGATTGGTCTCTAAATCTTGAAGGCGAGCGAGGGAGGTGGTGGGTTGTTAGTGACGCAACCACGTGGGACCTATTTGTGGTTGGGGAGAGCAGAAGACGTCTGGCTTGAAGCGTTTGATCATGAGGAGAGCCGGTTCTTGGTTGGAAGGTTTCAGGTTAGACTGCAGCTCGGCTTAGTCGGGAGGAGATGAGGTCTGGAACAGGTTGGCTGGGGCATGATGGATATTGATCCTCGGGTACCGGTTTCGTTGTTAAGTATTGTTAGCGCTGGTTGGTAGAACACATAAGTAATGTGCAACTATTACTCGAATCCGCTATACACAGCAATTAGAACAGCACCATGGCCTGCATTCTACTTCTCCTTGACCGATCTTCTCCTGCTCCCGCCCTAACTGCTCCCCCGTTGGCGTGGCAGCGGACAAATGGATGAATCAACGACGCCCCTAGTCACGGTCCCGCAGCCTATTCAAGAGGGCGTTGAGCTCGTTGGCCACGAAGCCCGGGTCATCCTTTTGGATGAAGTGACCACAGCCCTTGGCTATCTTCACCTCGTTCTCCGCCGGAACGAGACGAGTCAAACCCTGGTTGTACGCGCCCCAGGCTGGGTTGACATACGCGTTGATGACGGCTTTTGACACGGATAACGAGCCCTGTTAAAACACGCTCGTTGTCAGCGTATCGCATCTCAGATCCAGTTGGGGTTCTTCTTTTTAAGGTACCCACATGCTCACTCTGCTCGGCGAAGACGTCCCAGTCGTGACCCGCCACTACCAACAGCGGCGACCTCCCTCCCGGCCCGTGGGGCAGGCGAGGCCCGTCGGCCTGCGGCAGTAGCTCTGCCAGGTGTCTTCGGTCAAGATGCTCGGCGTTGGGCACGGTCGGGTGGAAGAAGTTGCGGACCCTGACCCTCGCATGCCGGAGGTCGTCCGGCGTGATGCCCTGTGGCAACTGGCCCTCGTCAAATCCGGCGTCGTCGCCGTCCGGGTCCGGGAAAAGGGACACGAAATCCGTGTTGGCCATCATCGAGTCGAGGAAGACATAGGCGCTGACCCGCCCTGGGTGGGCGGCGGCGTAGATGCGCGCGAGGGCGCAGCCGATCGAGTTGCAGACTAGTACTAGCTGGAGGTCTTCCAGCTTCTGTCGGTGAAGCTCGTCTCGCGCGACTTGGATGAGGAGCTGGTGCAGGTCGGCGACGGCTGCGCGCGAGTCGTGGCCGTAGGGTGCGTCCTGCGGGTCGTCGGTTGGGTCCGAGTCGGATTTGCCCTGGCCGTAACGGTCGTAACAGAGCAGGGCGGGGATCGGCTGGTTGGATTTCCGGCGCAGGTTGAGGAATCTGTCGATGGTTTCGCACCAGGCTGCGCTGGGTAGGGCGAGGCCATTCAGGAACACCACGAGTGTGTTGGAGAGGGCGTGTGGGCCTGGCGGGTGGGGTTTGGCCACTGAGATATGCAGTGAGGCACCGGGTTTGGTGTGCAAAATGATATTCTTGTCCTCCATTCTGTCAAAAGGCGGAGTTCCTGTGATGTGTACTTTGGAAGTTGTTTAGGTGGAATTGTAGCATGAAAAGTGATGAAAAAAGTGATGAAAAAAACGGATGAAAAGCAGATCGCGGAGTGAGCTGATGACGTTCACCGGATGGGGTCGAGACCGCTTTCAAACCAGGGAATGTGTGCAACATGCGGAGAACTGTCACCTTACTATGGTAACCAGCATCAGTTGAAGGAGCTGGACAACACATGCGAATGCTTTGAAAGGATCCACGCTAAATCCGAGTCCGTACAATAGCCAATGTTGTCATCAACATCGTGAGCTTTACCGTTTACCCACTCAGGTCCGAGTCAAAAATGCAGGGGAGCCCGAGTCGGCCATCATGTACAACAGAGGCATCGTCGCAGAACTTACAATTCAATGGGTTTAATTTGGTGGTGCCAGATTCAGGTACCTGTAACGTTATCTATAACTAGATCATTTAGTTAATTATACGTTAACTATCTTCTTTTAGTTACAGTAACCGTACATTATAAGCGAGCGGCGCATATAGGCGAGTGGCGCACTGATAAGGGCCAGTATGGAAATTCGGGCACAACACTAACAGCG